TAATACTTTAGCTTGTAAAACACACATAGGTGTGAAAATAAAAAATCTTTCTATTTTAACTTCTTACAGCATTTGCAGTTGCTTCTAAAGTTGCTTGCTTTTCTGCCTTCTCTTTGGCTTTCTTCTCAGCTTTGAGGTTTCTCTTCAAAGCACTAGAAGGTGAGAAGAAGTGACGAAATGATGAGGAACATGTCCGGCGGCCTGTCAACAACAGTCTCTTCATTATCAAACTCTATCCTCACTCTCAACTATTTAAACAAATCATAAAAATATATTCACTTCTTGCTGAGCTTTGGCTCCTCGTCTGCCATGAATAATACTCTTAAAGCTCTTCTTTATGAAGGAACAGGCACGTGGCCACAGACTAGACTGAGCTGGGAGGGACTGTCAGTCAGGGACAGGTTTTCTCTTCAAGATGGCTGCTGGTCCTAGCAGTAAGTTAGAAGAGCTTGAGGATCGTTTAGAATCCTTTATTGAGAACCTCAGGGTAGTGGGGGTAATAGCTGGCAACTTTCAACAAAATGGACAGGGAGTTCTTAACGAGCGACTGTAAGAGAAGGCCTTACTTCATGATAGTCCATTCTGCTTTCACCGTCTTCATTTTGTATAGTAATACTGCTGTGGAACATATGAGAATGTTGGACAGGGAGAAAGACAATTTTAGTGACATTGATATACCAGTACAAGTACTGAAGTGAGAAATAATACTTTATTTACGTGTACATAGCAAAATTAATTAATGGTCGCTGGACTACATGTTGATCTTGTATTGTATCAATTTATCTCAGTTACGTTGATGATGGTCGTAATCCTGATCTATTCACGCAGCATCAGTTAGAAAAGACACTTGGGGACTATCAAGCAGTTCAAAGGAAGACAGAAACATATAAAGTACACTGATGTTATGAACAATGTCTTCCATTTTATTTCTTGTTGAACAGATGTTCCGTGATGAGCTAGTGAGACAGCTGGAGTCATCTTTCCCTGTCGAAGTGAACGCTTATCTCGCTCACAGACAAATGACACGTCCTTCATCATGACACTAATTCATGTGTATACACATGTAGATCTACTTCTTCCTTTTATCTTTCTCTTGTCTTCGTTTTGTGTGTCATATACTTACGATTCTAATATCAATTCTTCAAGTTCAATCTATATAGTGATGTAATATATGGATTCCATGTTTGTTACTAATAAAGGTCATTAGTTTCTTTTTATTGTTGGTAGCAGGCGAAGAGAGTCTCAGTCACACAATGACTGGATTCATTTATTGCTACCAAATATCAAACAATATCAGTGCCTTTTAAAGAGCGGACCAGGTAGAGCCAGCTGGTACGTACAGTTTGAGAGCACACAATAATAATGTGATCACTTTTATACGACCCTATCTCTGTATTAAGGACAGGTAATGTGGGCCCAATGGTGTCCTTAATAAAGAGGCTACACTGTACATTCTATAATATTTAGCTACAGTATAGTACCATCTCATCTCTTAAATAATTAGACAACAGTGTAAAACATAAAGTACACAATTAATGGACACAGTCATTGCTGTTCATCTTAAATGAGGTGGCTTGTCATACAGTTTTGGGTTCTTGTCCTTCAGCTGCTTGTTGTATTTCTTCTTTGCTACATGAGTCTTTTGTTTTGCTTCAGCAATCAGTGAGGACTGCTTCATACCTACATAGACATACAGAATAACAATGATAGTATCAAACATTCCTGATACAAACAGCTCAAAAGTTGGTCAATTCTATGATAATAAATTAATCGACCAAAAACTTCTAAATAATCTGCATCCTCCCACCAAAGAACTAGTCACCATTACATTTTATTAGGAACAAATACATTCTTTAGAATCAATTGATTCTCCTATGATAAAAACAGGTTCTATATACATGTACTTACTTTTTCTAATGGAAGACACCATTCCTTCAGAAGGCTTTTTCTTTTGACTAGTTGTACTAGTTTTATCCTCTGTCTTGAATAAAGAAGTTGTCTGTAGCAGATGGATCATTGACAATGGTGGGTATGCCCAGTC